CGCATGCCAATAGGTCTTCCGTGTTCTGCAAACCATTCATCTGCAATGGACCTGGTAGTGGAGAAACGGTCCCTTAAGGCCAATAATCTTAGGCGGCGATCTTCACGGTCTGTTGTTCTACGGCGGCGCCAAGTGCCCCTTGCTCTTTGCGTACGGCCTTCTCGAAGCGATGCCTGACAACACCTAACCACAGTGTCTACACTTCTTTGCACTCTAACTGCAATTGCCTGAAAAGAAAGTCCAGCTTCCCGAAGTCCCACTATACGGCCCCTATCGAACTCACTAAGTTGACGAAATCGTACAGGTCTCCGTACTCTAGGCATCGTAACCGATCGTAAAGGTTATCAAAAACCAAAATCCGCCAACGTTGATTCTTTACTGCGGCTGAAATATTCATTTTTAGAGCGTTAGTGAATTAAAAAAAAGCAGCATAAAAACAGGAATGTCCAACTGATAAGGCTGAAAAATTTTTCACTTGTTATTTACAGTAGGATAAATACATTCACCAACTTTTATTAAAATAAAAACATTTAAACTGGGTGTTCGGATTTATATGTCACTTGGTATATAAACGATGAATAGGTTCCAAACCAGTAGGTTCAACGATTGGCAGATCAGTAGCATGTGTTTTATGATGACAAGCCTTGAATAGAACGATGCTTAATTCTTTATTCTTATGCCAGCCCAATTTTATAATGCCGGTGAATATAGAGTATTAGTCAGCTAAATAGAAGCTTCTAAATATCAGCTGCAGTAATTTATGATTAGTTTAGATAGTTTGCTATCTAAAGAGTTTCATCTATGTGAAATATAATTAAAAAAAAACAGTGAATTAATCATTCAACAATGATGTACTGCGCATTAGTAGGTTTATCAAGCAACAACAATACGAAAAGCAAAGACGTTTTGAAATGGCGTTTCTTCAGTCTTCCGATGAACAAACAAATTTGCGAGCAATGGGTGATGTAGTGAGAAGCAACAAATATTTGAAAATTTCTAATTAAATGTAATGAATTTTTGACAATTCAGGGAAGGGTCATTAGAATTGTCCAAAATATTCTTTGTTGATGTAAAATGTATTTTAGAATCCGGTTGTTGATAGAGATATAACAGAAAAATAAATAATTAGGAAGAGGAAAATGAGGAAAACTATAAAGTAAACTCAATAAAACTGTCCACAATATAAAATACTTCTATTAGTATATATCCATAAAAAAGATTAAAGACCCCTTACACAACATTTATACAAATTATAAAGATGTCATATGGATTGTATCTTGGTTCTCGTTCTTTATATGTATAAGAAATCTATACAGGGTGGCGCATCGAAAACGAAACAGACGCATTTACTGGCAGCTCAGTCTTTTTTTGTAAAAACGCTCAGACCCGTCGATTTTGTTTTCGAGGGGGACACAAGTTTGGCTAAAAAAACGTTAACACGTGCAGCCCCCTGGGCTGGGGTGACACCAACCCTAAAATCTTAAATGGAAAGGGGGGTCGAGTGATACCTTATTTTAAAGGTCTTCCAATTCCCGTTATAATGATGTAAAATACATGAGCTTCAGTTCAGTAGTTTTGAAGATTTATTGATTTGAAGCTTAAAGTAGACTTTAATAGGTACATCAGATTAGTTTGTACTACTTTCAGAAGAAATGTGACTAAAAGAATTTACTTAATAAGTAAATGCTTTTCTTCACTACGCCCATGGTTTGTTATCATTTTGTTGTTGAAAATAGCTATTGGAGCGTTTTTTTGTGGCAAAAAAGTTATTTCTTGAAGAAAGATAAGAAAATATCTCGTACTTATTTTAAATAGGAATTTAGTACATAGTTTGCGATTGATTTGACCAAACTTTGTTGCTAAAATAACTTGTAACGCTTTATTACATAAACCAACCATGGTACATTCCACAGCAGAAAGAGTTGAAATTATCGAAATATTTTTCGGATAGAATAGAATAGCAGAAATATTTAATGAGCGACATGAGAACAGTAACGTGCATCGAAAATAAGTTCTAGAACTTGTAGGTAAATTTCGGGAAAGTGGGCCAGTCACCAATAAAAAACGCAACATTGAAAATCCCATAAGGAACGAAGCAATAGAAGTGTGGGTTTTAGGGCAAGTTCATGAAGATCCTACGTTAAGTACCCGCAAATTGGAGACTGTGTGTGGTGTTAGTCGACGTACTGTCCAACGAATTTTTAATGATTCAGTCTTAAGTTATTTAGAACCGTTCATCTTGTCATCATTTTTAATTTTTCGCTCTGTCTACAGCGCTGTACTTCATGAGGATGGATTTGGAAAACATGAAAAGATTCTATATAATACTAAAATTATCATATACTATCGTCAACACAAAAAATGTTAATCAAACATTCCAAACATTTAAAGGAAAACTGTCTAATACAGTTCATTTTATACCGACGAGCGGAACATTTCTCATCGGGTGACACCATGCAAAAAGAGGTACGAAATTCCATCGCTTCCCGAGTTATAGCATTATAATTTATATATGTGTAAAACCAAACCAGAACAACAGAACCAATGTCGACGGCAGGCCGCCGGGAGCGGAAGCCGCGGCCGGTACTCTAAACCATATACGAGGTTTGTAAATTAAGTGATGATACTGGCAACGTAGTATTCAATCTGGCAACACTGGAGACGCCGGGCTTCGAGGGGAGACAGGGGACACGTGATTCGCCTTCAGTACAAGTTTGAACTCGCTCGAGTCAGTTGGTTGTCCGTATAGGTTTTTTGTGAAATCAATTTCAAGCAACGGTGTGCTATCAGGTTTTTCTTCAGAATTCGGCACAGTGCAACGGAAACTGTTGCTAAACAGTCCCACGGAGATAGTGTTTTGGCGAGGGCTCAGGTTTTTTGGTGGTTTGAGGCATTTACAGAGTCGAGTGAGGATGAACCAGGAAGCGGGAGGCGTTCACTTTCAAGAAATGATAAAAATATTGTCAGAATCCGCTTCTCTACCTTGCACTGACTTGTTCAATTCGTCACTATAAATACGAATGTGGGACAAATACGTTTATTCGTTTCCTGAATCTTGAAAAGGACAGTGCTAAGAAAATATTTTAAAAAATATAAACAGATAGTATATCACACAAATTCAGACAGTGTTATTTTGTTTGAGAGTGCTGGAGAAAAGTAAGTACATTATTTTTTATTAAATTTTAGTTTTGTACTCGTAGTTAGCAAAGATAGATAAATTACGCCAATCATGGCTTTAGTTATTAGTAATTGAATATTCAATCATGCAAAATTACACGAGTACTCCTCAATAGTTTCTTTTTGAAAGTTTTAGCAATCGGTAATGTAATTACAGTGCAATCTCCGTAATTTAAGCTAATTGTTACAAGAAGATGTTCGAATTATGGAATGTTTTCGGAAAAATCAAAAAATATTTTTAATATACAGCTGCTGGATTTTCTGTCTTATTTAAATAATTTAATTTTGCCCACAGATGACTGATGCCATGTCCGAATCTAAAAAGAAATGTAGACAGTACAGTGTTGATTATTTGAAATTTGGCTTCATTCCATCATTGCCGGACAAACAATAGCCTATGTGCCTTTTATGCAACAAAGTTTTGGACAATGGCGCTATTTAACCATCTAAACTGCAAGATCATCTGAGAAGATGCCAACCTGATAAAACAGAGAAAGATTTGAAATACTTTCAAACACTCAAAGATAAATTTCAGAAGAGACCTACACTGGACAGAATGTTCGCTTCGACGTCACAAAGAAATGTTGATGGTTTGCGGGCGTCTTACAATATCTAGTTACTTATAGCAAAATCCGGAAAACCGCATACTATCGGAGAGAAGTTAATTTTGCCAGCCGTTGAAGAGGTTTTAAAAACTGTTTTACTTAAACCTGCATCTGATATCATTAAAAGAATTCCCTTAAGCAACAATACTGTTGAAAGACGTATTGATGAAATGAGTTCTGATATTGAAAGCTTCTTATGTAATTATTTGCAAACGACCCATTTCTCTATACAACTGGATGAGTCAACTTTACCTGATAATGCAGCATTATTATTGGCATATGTGCGTTTTATTATGAATCAAGAAATCTACGAAGAACTGCTCTTCGCAAGAACTTTGATAACCGACACTAAAGGTGAATCAATATTTCATGTTTTTAAGGATTACTTCATTGAAAAAGCAACTCCCTTATCAAATATAATATCAGTAGCTACATATGCAGCACCTGCCATGGTTGGACGTTATCGTGGATTTATAAGCTATTTAAAACAAAATGTGTCAGGGGTGTTAGCAATACATTGCGTCATCCATCGACAACATTTAGTCGCTAAAAATTTGAGTGTTAGATTGCATGAATCACTTCATTTAGTCATTGATGCAGTAAACCGAATCCGAAGCAACGCGTTGACTACGCGGTTATTTGCGCAGTTGTGTGAAGAAAATGACGAACACTTTCATCAATTACTCCTTCACACTGAAGTACGCTGGCTGTCGAAAGTCTTATGTTTGACAAGATTTTTTGCACTTTTTGAGACTATTTTAGAATTTCTGGATACTAAAGATATATATTTTAAAAGAAAATTTAATGAAGAGGAAAACAGACATCGCCTATTTAACAGATTTGTTTACAAAATTTAATATGGTTAATTTGCAATTACAAGGCGACAGTTTAAATTTGATTAAAACAAAGTCCATCTTATCAGCGTTTCTTGCCAGAGTTAAACTAATGAAGCAAAATATTAGACGGGGCGAATTTTCTCAGTTCCCTAATTTGTCACAGACAAGCTGCCAGGAAGACGACGTTTCAACTTACGTTCAACATTTAAATGCCCTCTATTCAGATTTTGAATCTAAGTTTGACGATATTTTGACTATGGTAATACCACCGTGGATAATTAATACATATGATGACATAGAAGAAACGAATGTCATAATACAAGAGGAACTGACTGAACTAAGTACAAACGAAGAACTTAAGGTTCAGTTTAAAAACGGAAATCAGCAATTCTGGCTGCAAAACAACATACCCGTTACTTATCCCATATTATGGAAAATAGCGAGGAAATTTTTAATTTCCTTTCCATCGTCATATCTAGTGGAAAGGGGGTTCAACGCTGTTACCAATCACCTAACGAAAAAAAGAAACAGACTGGACTTCATTAGCGATGAGATTTAAGATTAACCATTACAAAATTGACACCAAATAATCATAATTTATTATTAAAGCAACAGGTTCATCCTTCTCACTAAAAATATTGACTTATTGCTTATGTTATTTTATTTATAGTTTATTTTATGTTTATTGGTGTCTGACCAATAAATTCCCGCATTGGGAATAAGTGCCCGCATTGATTTTTTTAAAGAACCTCCCTTTATAGAAAATATTTTTTTTTAAATTATTCTGAAAATTCAAGGACACACTAAAATTCGTTAATTTTTTGCCTATTTTTAGATAACTTAAACGTTTAAGAAGCGGAATTTAATCAAACTAACAGTGAAATTATTGTAGAACATAAGTTTATGTTATAATTAATAAACGAACTCGCTTATTGTACTATTTTAAGTAAAAAACTTTTTTTTTTATTATTTTTCACTTTTTTTTTATTCTATCCCTCTAATTTTTTTTTTCAATGCAGGCACTTATTCCCAATGCGGGCACTTATTGGTCAGACACCTGTTTATTTAATGTTACGTATATTTTACATAACAGATACACAATTTTATTTTGAGTAGTTTTAATTTAAATTCAATTAATATATGTATAAATTAACATGTGTTTTTACTTTAAGTTTTTAACACTAAACTTCACTACAGTTAGAAATTTACAGGAAATCAATATCAGGTAAGTAGGGGGTCTACCCAACACGGAAAAACATGGCAAGGGCTCTACGACACAAAAAAGTTTGGGTAACTCTGATTTAGATTGTCGGTTGACGATAATGCTTCTTGTCAATAAACCCGTTTTTGGTCAGTAAAAACGTTCTTATGGCTCTTCAGCATTTTTAATCGCCTAACTTGAGTCCTTGTAACTCTTTTCTCTTCCCGAAATTGAGAAATCACCACAGTCGAGAACATTCAAATGGTTGTAACCGACAATGCTACAAGAAGTGGAAAAATCGTCTCCAGGTATGTGTGGCTTCAGAAGGAAATCATTTTGAGGGTGACAATTTAAATTGTAATTATTTTTTAATAGAAATTTAAAAAAAACACCTCAAACGAGACGCTGTTGATTAAAAACCTTCTAGCTTCCATCAGCATATGGAAACCTTACGACCTGAAGTCTGACGCATTCCATCGTGATGGCATCCTTGTCTTTGACGGTCCAATTTAGCAGAGAGCGATCTTCGACTACTATCGGGAGCACGTCAGCTCAGCGCAGCTTAACGCTAAATCAAACAGCAGCTGCATCAGCTTCAAGCGTCAGCTTCGAGGCCGGCAGTGATATCCTTCATGGAAACCCCGGCATCAGCTTCGAATCAGGTGTATGTACGGCGAAATACGAAATAGGACGCGATTGCTTCTAACAATCGCGACGTTGCCACGTGTCTGGATCGGTTTTGTCAAGGAATAAGACTCAAAGGTCCGATTTTACTAAATTCTGCCAATGAGGAGGTGTCTTTGAAGTAATGAATCTGATGAGTATGGACCATTTCTTGATAAATGTCTCCAAACTAATAAAATTATACGGTTTGTGTAAGATAAGACTCTAATTCCTATATTAAATCAAGAAGTATGATTTTAAGAAAAATAATCATTTGCCTCACAGTCGAAATATACTAAGTGACATATAAATCCCCAGTTTAAATGGTTTTATTTTAATAAAATTTTGTATAAGTACTTAATGAAGCATAATAAGTAAATGATAAAAATTTCAAAATGATTGCACTGCTTTAAAGCCATTTGATCTTTAATAATGTGTGGATGCACCCTGATGTGCTACGCATTCTCCAACGCGCCTAGGCATGCTTCTGATCAGGTGGTCAATGTCCTCCTGTGGTATCTCATTCCAGGCAACCACCAACTCCTCTCGAAGTGCTTCTAGAGTCTGAGGAGGACGTTGCAAATTGAGCAGTCTCCTACCCATCATATCCCACACGTGCTCAATTGGGGATAAGTCGGGAGATCTTGGTGGCCATGGTAACAATGTGACATCATTATCTTGAAAGAAGTCTATTGTGACTCTTGCAACATGTGGTCGGGCATTATTAATTCGCCAATATGAGAAAAAGCGCATTTTCACAGATTTTTCTCGATTTTTGACATTCTTAAAGTAGGAAACTAAAACTTGGCAGACTCAAAAACCCATGGAATAATTCTACAGCTCTCTACAGGGGAGTGCTTCAATAATTCTCTGCAGTTTTCTTGCGAAACTTTGAAATAAGTTTTGGGGGTGCTAACTTCACGCCGCGCCCCTTTCACGAAAAACGTGAGTTCCGAGCTGTACTGAGCGGTAATGAATACTTCCAAAGTTTTAAGCCAGAGTTCTGCAAAATTAAAATAAAAAACAGCATCAACCATCCACTAGGCAATACTTGCATTTCACATTTATCGCCAGAACACTCGGCAAGCACACGGCACTCCAGCACAGTGAACCTCACACAGTCATGATTTTCAATAATTCTCAAACATTGAAATGAGAAGAACCTACGCTTAAATCAGAAAACGTAAACAAATATCATCAACTCACGTGAGACCGTAGAAATCCAAAAAGCGCAGAGCGCACAGTGTACTTTCAAAAGCAGAACTTGGGGCTGCGATCAGATTGGTTGGGAGAAATATCGAGAAATACCTGCAAAACTCTTAAAATTCCAACAGGCAGCCCCAAAACTTTTTTCAGCAAAAAGACTGAGAACTGTAGAACTGTTCTGAAGTAGAACTATCTAACAAAATAATCAAGGTTGCTTCAAAAAGGGGTGCCAACTTCGGGCGAGTTTTATTGTGTATTCTTTCAGGATCCATTGTCAAAATTGTGATTCGTGGTCCAGAAAATTGAGAAAAAAAATCGTAATTTCGCTGGCTTTTTTTCTGAATTTTGACATTTTAGGTCAGTAAAAAAATGGTTGAATAACTCAAAGATACACAGCTAAGATGGCGAAGTTATGTTGAAAACTGATAGAAGCGGTTTTTACGATGCTTAGCGATTTTTCTGATAACAAATCATCATTTTGACAACGGACTTGAAATGACAGAAAACGTAAGAAATAGAAAAAATCAGCGAAAATGCAGTTTTTTCTATTTTAGCAATTTTCCGAGCAACAAATCGCAATTTGGATAACGAAGCTTAGAAGATGTAGATAAATGTCCGTTGAGCTTTTGGTTGTCATGATATTCCGGTGTAAAAATACCTAAGATTGGTGTGATCATGCGGGTTTTCCGATGTTTGCCAATTTTCAGGATTAAGAAATCATTATTTTAACAACGGAACTGAAAATAACGCGTAAAATGCATGTATACAAGAGGTTACTAGGTTAGCCAACTACTTATTCCCTAAGCAAAAACGTCAAAAATTAAAGACAGTCGATGAAAATGCGGTTTTACCTATTTTTGCAATTTTGCAGGAAATAAATCAAGATTTTGTTTGTCGAACCTAAAAAAATGGACAAATATACACATATCCAATCCAATCGTTTAGAATGTGAAAAACTGGAGAAATGCCGTTTTTCTATTATATTTTTTATCGCAAGGTTAAAGATCTTGAAATAAAGCGAAAAAGCACTAAAATACTATAGATTTAAAGTTTGAAAAAAATCATTACCTAACAAAAATTCGAAAAAGAAATCAAAAAAATGTTTTGTCGAACCTCTACGCTGCACAAATCTAGAAAAAGATGATGTAGGTATAACGGTGTAGCCACGATAACTTTCCTAAAGTTTTTTGAGTTAAATTGCGCCCGTAAAAAGTATTTTCGATAAAACATGTTTTTGAAGTTGGTTTCCCTAAGGTTGATCTATCGATCTGGTAATTTGGTTAAGGTAATTTGACTCAGCAAAACTTAGTTTATTTTGATTTAGATTTGGATACCTTTATAACGGATTGACCACCCAAAAAAACTTGATAACTACTACTATCCAAATTTGCCGCACCAAGCAACGCGCAAGCTGAACCAAATGAATGATCTGCTACTAAAACGATGCAGAGCTACAACTTTTGTATTTGAGAGAATTGCGTACAGTTCCTTCCTTAGGCTTGTACTAAAACTGATGTTTTACATTTGTATCGGTTATACAGCATTGTGTTTATTTCTACTACCTATTTCCTCACTGCAGACATGCTTAAGATTTTCTCATTCACGCTTCTACCATTCAAAATAATGTTGGCACTGTAATCAGAATAAATGTGAAACCGTGAAGCATCCAAAATGCTGTTTCTCCATTAACTCAACATGGCAACAAAGCTCAAAAGGAGGTCGCTCCCAATTCATTCGTGAAACCGTTGACGCCTGTAAACGTGTCGGCATAGTTCCATGTCCATGTTTCGCGACGCCCTAGGTGGTCCTTCATTTGGTGCGCGACGCGAACGGCCCATCTGGCCATATTGTCTACCGAAATAGCCTAGGTATACGAATAATAGTACCCCAACTAACAATTATCACTCCTATTAGAGTTGCAGGAATGATTCCTTACACAGCATTGTATACTGTAAGAACATTGGTAAAACCCTCTTAGTACAGCTATACAAGCGGAATGGGCACACTTAATAGGACACTTCAGTCATTTAAGAGGTTGTATAAGGGTGCAGGTAACAGTTATACAACAAAGGTGTAAGCCTCTTGCAGCCGCTATAGGACATTTGCGTCAGCGCAAGATTCAGTTTTTGTCAACTATACAACTATTCTGTTACGTGATTCTACTTTATTGCAACCAAACTATTTCTTAAGTATTGCATAAACGAAGTGAAGAATATATAACTAACAGATTACAGTCATCTTGTTTATTTACATATCGGCCATTGTGAATTTCATACAAAGGTATATGATAAACTTCTACACTGCGATATAGGGCTATTGAATTACTTGCGCAGCAAATTTTATTGTGATTATCGTGCAAATTAGTTACCGAATTTCTACGGGCTTCGTATTTGATTCATATTTTGACAATGATCAAAAGTATGTCTAGATTTTTAAGATGGAAAGCTGAACTTATCTGCGTCAAATCTTCCACAAATCCTATATTTAGACACAATTACACTAATGTTTATCACTTTATATCTGTAATTTCGAACTGAAACATAATTATTTTATATTAAAT